CTTTGTGAACAGAAACAAAAAAAGAGGCCAGATTTATTGCGGTTATTTAATACAATGTTCCAGGTTCCTTCTAGTACCCTTTGGGAAATTTCATTACAATGACCTATAATAAGTAGAAAGTTCTTTTTTTTTTTTTTCTATTAAGGAAAAATGAGAATGTAATTGAGAAAAATATAGTAATTACTGGGAGATCATATAAATGTTATGCTTAAAGAGTTAGGAAGAAGGGAAAGGGTGAATTATATCCCATCCTTACAGAAGCAGGGAGCTGGATGGAAGAATAAAGAACAGAATCTTTGCTTGAAATGCCAGGTGTGTAATCCTAGGCAAGTATCTTAAACTGTCTGAGTAATCCTTATTGTGAGGATTAAATGGAATAACAAATGTAAAACGCCTGGCAATTAGTGGGTTGCCAACATATGCTAACTCCTCTTCCCCCACTGAATTTTTAGTAATGGAATCTTCTCACTGGCACTTACTGTTAAATAATAGATACAAAAAAATTAAGCTCTTTGTATCTCTCTGGAACTTACTATCTATTGGACAGAGAGGATGTAAACAAAAATAAACAAAAATAAAAGACAAGGGAGATGTCCTATCTATTTTATTCTGTTGAATCATGGACTAAAAGTGCAAATATTTATTGGATAAATGAAAGGGATTATATTTTATTAAAGAGATGTACATGAATAGATCAGTATGCCTAGTCTTAAACATCAACATGAAAATAAAACACAAGATCTGGAGATAAGTCAAAGAAACAGAAAAAAAAAAAAAAGTTACCAGATATATAATACAAAACAAATAAGGGTTGGATTCTGAGGGTATAATCACATTTTGTGGTCAAGAAATTAACTCTTTCATTCAATAATTATTTAGTGAGCATCCCCTGTGTATTAGATATTATACTTGACTATGAAACTACAAAAGCAAAATTATTCTAGCTTCTGTCTTGTATCTGTGAACAGGGAAGTAGTACATCAAATTAGTGAACAAATGAATGAATGAATGAGGATAAAGCCCAAAAGAAAAGTGAGTTTCTAAAGCAGAAGCAAAGTTAAACAGTTAAAGCAGAAAAATATGACCATGTGTAGGAATGCATATTAATAATATTTTATACTTAAACTGCCTAATGGATTTTGGAACTTGTTAAAGTTTATTCATAATAAATCAAAATTGAAGGTCAATACATATTTTTAAATTTGCATTTAATTTGTATTTGCGATGTAGATAAAAGATCACATATATTCTATCATCAGCCAGCTCATTTATTTAGTGCAGCTGGCAGTAAATTTTCCCTTTTTGGACAGCCAAACAGAAGGCATTAAAGAACAATGACCAGGGGTGCCTGGGTGGCTCAGTGGGTTAAAGCCTCTGCCTTTGGCTCAGGTCATGATCTCAGGGTCCTGGGATCAAGCCCCGCGTCAGGCTCTCTGCTTTGCAGGGAGCCTCCTTCCTCCTCTCTCTCTCTCTCTCTCTACCTGCCTCTCTGCCTACTTGTGATCTCTGCCTGTCAAATAAATAAATAAACAAATATAAAAATAAAGAACAATGACCATAAATCAGGGTCAGAGGACCCTTCAAAGAAAAGAAAAATCCAAACATTTGAGGTTTGGATTGCATTTAGAAGAAATTGCAAAATTTAGTCAAAATCAATTCTAGACAACCTGTTCCATTATCCATCAAGTCTGTGCTGAAATTATTGGGTATAAATTTTTACAACAATTTCTGAAAGGAAATTGACGTAAGGAATAGCTGTCTAAAAATACTAAAAAAAAGAAAATATGTATCTTTGCTTTAGAAATGTCTTATTCCTTGGGAGAAATATGGTTGAGACTGTTCCCCAAAAGAGTAAAAGAACTACCCCCCTTCCACATTCATAATTGAATAGAATGCAAAATTTCAGTTGGAGTCTAGTTAAAAGTTAATATTTTCTCAGCCAGGTTCATGGACCACCTGACTTATATCTGTGGGTCTCTGCTTGAAGAGGTTTTTTAAATCTGAAACTAATCTGCAATCCAGAATCAATGTCTTTGAAGTAAGAGGAACTTTATCATTAGTACAACTTGTTTTTTTAACCTGTGAGGAAACTTAAGCAGCAAAACTGTATCTAAGTCATCAGACTCTTATTTTCACATATGTTCCATTGTATGCTGTTGTGATATTTGCTATCACATATGTCTAAACATTTTCTGGGTAGCATGAGGAGATTCAGTTGCAAATCTTTGGTTTGGCTTGGTGTCATTTATATCGTTTAGGAATTTGCTGTGCCTGAGAGATGTTTAGAATAAAGTCTTAGTTCAAGTTAAAAAAAAAAAAAAACAAGAAGTTAATTCAAGAGTATTTTTGCCCTTTTGAAAACAATCTGAGTTGAGAGAAACTACACCATATGCTCTTTTAACCTAGGCAATGTACAGCAAAGTGCTGAGCAATTATATGGTGGATTTGATCAGTTTTGACAGCCTGTCTTGAAACTCAAGCCAGAATCCCCTGCTCTTTCTACCACAGCAGGTTTCAAGACTAAATTATATGACTAATTACATCAAATTTCTACTTTACTTTGGCAATGGCCTTACAAAATCTGCATGTGTAAAATGACTTTCCTAATCAGCTTTAACAATTCTATCTGTCATGATTATTTTAGAACTTCTATATCAGAATACATAAAATAATGATGGATAAAAATATTTGAATGCCCTCTGAAACACTGAATTATCTTGTACCAAAGTCATCCTAGAACGTTCCCATTCTTTCTTCAATTCCTGCAACTCATATTCATCAAATAGAGTGTTTGATTAGAGAATTTATAATCTGATAAATATAAATCAGTTCAGGAAGTTCTCCTCATTCTTTGCTTGAAACATGTCCAAGAACATGTAGATTATCTGGATAATTTCTTTAGTATGTATAATACCATAATCACATAAGAAATGCATGGTATTCACATTGACAGTATATCCTTTACAGTAATGTAATGTACTTGTGAAATTGAGGTGCTCTAAAGGTGAAGGTCATTCACATTAAATAGACAATGATTTTATAATAATCCAAACCTCAGAAATTACCTAGTAAAGCTGCAAGGAGATGGACATTCACTTGAGATACTCATGAAACTAAAGCAATCTCTTCAAAACTTAATGTGCAATGATCATTTTAACTTAGAGACACAAACACATAGAAATGACAGATGGGATATCACTTCTGAGATGAAAGTAAATTAACTTTGGGGCAATTTATCTTTCACAGAATATTAGGTGCAGTGCCTGCAGACCACAGATGTACACCTCATGAGGAACCTACCAAGACATCTGTGAGGTGGGGGAACTGTAGTTTATATTCAAAGTGTAACTTAGTAATGGCATGTCAACCACACCCCAGATGAATGTTTGAACATATAAGATAAAAAAAGAAAAATAGGGGCGCCTGAGTGGCTCAGTGGGTTAAAGCCTCTGCCTTCGGCTCGGGTCATGTTCTTGGAGTCCTGGGATCGAGCCCCACATCGGGCTCTCTGCTCAGCGGGGAGCCTGTTTGCCTTCCTCTCTCTCTGCCTGCCTCTCTGCCTGCTTGTGGTCTCTGTCTGTCAAATAAATAAATAAAACCTTTAAAAAAAAAAAAGAAAAGAAAAATATTTTGAACACCTTTTCCTTTTACATATGAGGTGAGTGATAAGTGAAAAGCTCTAGTTCTTATATATTAGTGGACCTACTAAAATAACAGAGAAAAGGACAAAAGAATGAGATACAGATAAAGAGGGGTGGGATAGAGAGAAAAAGAGAAAAAGGGAAAGAGGAGACAGAGGAAACGAAAGACAAAAGGAACCACATTAGAGGAAAAAATATAGAAATTTTCCATTTTATAAGTTGTTAAATATTTGCATAAGACAAATATATGTCCTTGGAAAACACTTTGAAAATGATTCCTTTCTTATGACCACACAATATATGCCCTCCACCCCAGCATCCAATCCATTAAATAAATCACTTTATGTTTTATGTCTGTTTGCATGCTAGATTTTAAATACTGAACACATTTCTTCATCATTTTATTTATCTTTTGGTACAAGCACAGTGCCTGGCATATAAAAAGTGTTCAATAAATATTTGTGGAATAAATGAAAGATTGAATGAAAAATTCTTCCAATTTCTTAAGCAGAAGAAAACTTCTACTTAAAAAAAAAAAATGTTACTGGGAGCGTCTAGGTGGCTCATTAGGTTGAGTCTGCCTTGGCCACTGGTCACGATCCTGGAGTTCCCAGGATTGAACCCCATCTCAGGCTCCCTGAACAGCGGAGAGTCTGCTTCTCCCTCTTCCCCTCCCCCAACTCATGTGCTCTCTCTCTCTCTCTCTCTGTCTTTTTATCTCTCTCTCTCAAATAAAGAAAATCTTTTAAAATATAGTTACTGATTGTATGAATGTTTGGCAGGCTAATGATTTTTTCTGTGATAGTTCCCACATAATTTCTAATTTATTAACAAGTCCTACAGCTGATCAAACTTTGCAACTGACAGGGTCAGGTCTGCCGTGGATAATGTTGAGGCCCATGGTTGCAGTCTCCTCCTCTTAGCTTGCATTCCAGAAGTCAATCAGTGGGAACACATCATCACTTACTAGGGGGTTATTTCAAACCTTAAGGAAACAAATTTGGTGTTAAAATAAAATAAAAATTTTGCCTTTCTTGTTTTTTGTTTGTTTTCCTTTTGGGATGGGTTTGGGTTTAGCAACTTAGAAGTTGAGAAGAGAAGATTAAAGGAGTGGTAAGTAAAGCATTTAATAAAAGTAGGAAGCAAAAACTACAGAAGGTACCAAAGGATAAGGAGGTATAAGGAGGAGAAACCAGAGAAATTAAAGAGCCTAAGTAAAGTGATCGGTCACTTATTTTACACTGTTCCAGATTTTTTTTACCTGCTGAGTAAATTATTTTTATATAATATTCATTCTGAAATATTTAAATATTATATATCAATTTAAAATGAGAGTTCATAGCTTCACAAATTACTAACCTTCCCTGGTACAATTGGTTTGGGCTTCATCACTGAAGTCTCCACAGTCATTGTCACCATCACAGGCCCAATGTCCTGGGATGCATCGGCCACTAGAACATCTGAACTGATTATCCAAGCAAGAGTGAACACAGCCAACCTCGTCACTGCCATCCCCGCAGTCATCATCTGGAAAGAAGCATCCACATCAAGGAAGTGAAAACTAACCAGGAAGAAAACCCTCCTTATGAAATATCTATCGTTTCTTTTTGCTATATAGAGTATTCTTTTGTTTTTGATAAAAGAATGATAAATTAATGATGAGCATTTCCCACAGTGAGGAAGATTATCTTTTTAATATTGTTTCACTTCTGATTGAGTATCAGCTAATAAACGAAGAGGGAAAACAAAACTTCACTTTGGATTTTAAAGCTTAATTTCTATTTCACTCAGAAATGACTAACCATTGACTAAACAAATCTATGCAACACGAAATAATTGTAAAATGGGAGAACAATGGTGATTGCAAGAATTTCATGGAATGATATAGCTGGTGATATAATTATCATGGAAAATTGTTGTTTAGACCTATAATCCCTATGCCCCAGAGTTTATAACCACATCTTTAATTCAGAACCTTCTTTTCCATTCTCAACACGAGACGTCACTGTGTACCCTTCCTCTACCGACTCGTAAGTGTGTGTTTATACTGGGGAATTGTCACTGTCATTAACAATGATTTATATTCTTTATTAACAACTGTTGCAGGAGGGAGGTGAGAGGAATGTGAAGTGAAAATTGATTAAACTGAAATCAGTGAGTGAGAATGTATGATTTATACATAATTCATTTACCTGTGTTTGGCATAATTTAGCATAATGATACAATTGAGTATAAGAAAACAAACATTATTTGTACATAAAGGGCAAGGTGGCAGAGTTGAGACCATTCGGATAATTCCACAATAATTTATAAACTCCTCCAACCTGAGGTGACAGAGCACTTTACATCAGTGCTTTGCAGAACCTGAATCATCCAGGTCATTTCTTCAATTGTCCCCTTTACTTCCTGTCTGCAGACTTAAACTATGTCCAGCATAATGTCTGAACACAAATCTCTTTCTAGCCTCAAGGGACAGATCGAGTTCCATTATCCTTAATGCAAATCCCCACTGATGAGCCAGGTGCCCCCTCACCACTTGTCTTAGCCATTTTGCTCGGCCCTGCAAACTTCTCGTACAAACTACATCTGAAGGAGGTGAAGCAGCATGGACAGCCAGGCCCCCAATCAAATCAGTGCAACATAGGGAACATTTGGTACTTGCCAGAGTCGCAGTGCCATTTGCTGCTAATGCATCTTCCACTTTTACATATAAATTGAGTTAGTGGCTCACAAGTTGGAAATTCTATGAAAGATAGAAAAATATTCAATAGGAAAGAGGTTATTGACTGTGCTTGATTTAATTTGTATCTCATTTGCTAATGTGACCAGAACTCCACCCCTGTCTTTCACAAAAGGCAGAGGAAACAGTAGATTAACAAATATAGTGACACAAACTTCTTAAGTACATAGGATACCCATACGTTTCATATTTTTTAAATGAGTACTTTACAGTGACTGGAAGCCTCGGAGAATCATTTGATGAAGAACTGTATTCCCTGAACTGCACTACTGACAAGAAGGTTTGGAGGCAGTTACAGTCAGACCTTGTACTGGCCCTTGGGACTTGGGCTGGTCTAGCAGTTACGCTTCCCAGAGATTCCATTTACACCTATTCTGGATTATTCCTTTCTAAGAGTTAGGACTTTACAAAATATTCAAAGTCATGTTACTTGAGCATTTTATTAGTATTTTCACCAGTGAAGCACAATGGCGATGGTGTCTTTAGGAAACAAGAATTTTGAATGACATTGTTACAAATTTTATAGAATGATTTTTTTTTTTCCCTTAAAAGCTATGACTTTTTTTTTTTTATAAATAAAGAAAACTTTATTTTTCACACTTCTGGAGAGTCAAAGTTAATTCAAGGGCAGATTCAGTATCTGGTCAAGGACTAGTTCCTGGTCCACAGATAGTTTTCTGCTGTGTTCTCACATGGCAGAAGTGGGTGAGAGAGCCCTCCAGACTCTCTGTTCCTTTTAATAGGACACTACTTAGTGTCCCTTTTAAGAGGACACCCATTCATAAGGTTCTCTGCCTTCATGACTTAAATACCTCCAAATATCATCACATAGGGGATTAGATTCCACTATATGAATTTGTGGGGGGACACAATCATTCAGTTTACATTCTGGGAGGACACAAACATACAGTTCCACTATATGAATTTCTGAAGGGACAGAACATCTATGTTTGAGATACTTTCCACTGTTCTGTTTGAGAACCACTATGATACCTGTAAGAATTCATGACTTACAGTAATTTTGGAAATTATTCAGCCTTTTTATTTTGAATATTGTCTCTCCCCCATTGTCTTTCACTGCTACTTCTTCTTCTTTTTTTTTTTTAAACATATAATAGATTTTTATCCCCAGGGGTACAGGTCTGTGAATCTCCAGGTTTACACATTTCACAGCACTCACCATAGCACATACCCTCCCCAATGTCCATAACCCCACCCCCCTCTCCCAACCCCCCTCCCCCCATCAACCCTCAGTTTGTTTTGTGAGATTAAGAGTCACTTATGGTTTGTCTCCCTCCCAATCCCATCTTGTTTCATTTACTCTTCTCCTACCCCTTAACCCCCCATGTTGCATCTTCTCTCCCTCATATCAGGGAGGTCATATGATAGTTGTCTTTCTTCGATTGACTTATTTCGCTAAGCATGATACCCTCTAGTTCCATCCACGTCGTCGCAAATGGCAAGATTTCATTTCTTTTGATGGCTGCATAGTATTCCATTGTGTATATATACCACATCTTCTTTATCCATTCATCTGTTGATGGACATCTAGGTTCTTTCCATAGTTTGGCTATTGTAGACGTTGCTGCTATAAACATTCGGGTGCATGTGCCCCTTTGAATCACTACGTTTGTATCTTTAGGATAAATACCCAGTAGTGCAATTGCTGGGTCATAGGGTAGTTCTATTTTCAACATTTTGAGGAACCTCCATGCTGTTTTCCAGAGTGGTTGCACCAGCTTGCATTCCCACCAATGCAGTTGTAGGAGGGTTCCCCTTTCTCCACATCCTTGCCAGGATCTGTCATTTCCTGACTTGTTAATTTTAGCCATTCTGACTGGTGTGAGGTGATATCTCATTGTGGTTTTGATTTGTATTTCCCTGATGCCGAGTGATATGGAGCACTTTTTCATGTGTCTGTTGGCCATCTGGATGTCTTCTTTGCAGAAATGTCTGTTCATGTCCTCTGCCCATTTCTTGATTGGATTATTTGTTCTTTGGGTGTTGAGTTTGCTAAGTTCTTTATAGATTTTGAACACTAGCCCTTTATCTGATATGTCGTTTGCAAATATCTTCTCTCATTCTGTCAGTTGTCTTTTGGTTTTGTTAACTGTTTCCTTTGCTGTGCAAAAGCTTTTGATCTTGATAAAATCCCAATAGTTCATTTTTGCCCTTGCTTCCCTTGCCTTTGGCGATGTTCCTAGGAAGATGTTGCTGCAGCTGAGGTCGAAGAGGTTGCTGCCTGTGTTCTCCTCAAGGATTTTGATGGATCCCTTTCTCACATTGAGGTCCTTCATCCATTTTGAGTCTATTTTCGTGTGTGGTGTAAAGAAATGATCCAATTTCATTTTTCTGCATGTGGCTGTCCAATTTTCCCAACACCATTTATTGAAGAGGCTGTCTTTGTTCCATTGGACATTCTTTCCTGCTTTGTCAAAGATTAGTTGACCATAGAGTTGAGGGTCTATTTCTGGGCTCTCTATTCTGTTCCATTGATCTATGTGTCTGTTTTTGTGCCAGCATCATGCTGTCTTAATGATGACAGCTTTGTAATAGAGCTTGAAGTCCGGAATTGTGATGCCACCAACTTTGGCTTTCTTTTTCAATATTCCTTTGGCTATTCGAGGTCTTTTCTGGTTCCATATAAATTTTAGGATTACTTGTTCCATTTCTTTGAAAATAATGGACGGTACTTTGATAGGAATTGCATAAAATGTGTAGATTGCTTTAGGTAGCATAGACATTTTCACTATATTTATTCTTCCAATCCAGGAGCATGGAACATTTTTCCATTTCTTTGTGTCTTCCTCAATTTCTTTCATGAGTACTTTATAGTTTTCTGAGTATAGATTCTTAGTCTCTTTGGTTAGGTTTATTCCTAGGTATCTTATAGTTTTGGGTGCAATTGTAAATGGGATTGACTCCTTAATGTCTCTTTCTTCTGTCTTGTTGTTGGTGTAGAGAAATGCAACTGATTTCTGTGCATTGATTTTATATCCTGACACTTTACTGAATTCCTGTACAAGTTCTAGCAGTTTTGGAGTGGAGTCTTTTGGGTTTTCCATATATAGTATCATATCATCTGCGAAGAGTGATAGTTTGACTTCTTCTTTGCCGATATGGATGCCTTTAATTTCCTTTTGTTGTCTGATTGCTGAGGCTAGGACTTCTAGTACTATGTTGAATAGCAGTGGTGATAATGGACATCCCTGTCGTGTTCCTGACCTTAGTAGAAAAGCTTTCAGTTTTTCTCCATTGAGAATGATATTTGCGGTGGGTTTTTCATAGATGGCTTTGATAATATTGAGGTATGTGCCCTCTATCCCTACACTTTGAAGAGTTTTGATCAGGAAGGGATGCTGTACTTTGTCAAATGCTTTTTCAGCATCTATGGAGAGTATCATATGGTTCTTGTTCTTTCTTTTATTAATGTGTTGTATCACATTGATTGATTTGCGGATGTTGAACCAACAGTGCAGCCCTGGAATAAATCCCACTTGGTCGTGGTGAATAATCCTTTTAATGTACTGTTGAATCCTATTGGCTAGTATTTTGGCGAGAATTTTTGCCTCTGTGTTCATCAAGGATATTGGTCTGTAGTTCTCTTTTTTGATGGGATCCTTGTCTGGTTTGGGGATCAAGGTGATGTTGGCCTCATAAAATTTGGAAGTTTGGAAGTTTGGAAGTTTTCCTTCCATTTCTATTTTTTGGAACAGTTTCAGGAGAATAGGAATTAGTTCTTTAAATGTTTGGTAGAATTCCCCTGGGAAGCCGTCTGGCCCTGGGCTTTTGTTTGTTTAGAGATTTTTGATGACTGTTTCAATCTCCTTACTGGTGATGGGTCTGTTCAGGCTTTCTATTTCTTCCTGGTTCAGTTGTGGTAGTTCATATGTCTCTAGGAATGCATCCATTTCTTCCAGATTGTCAAATTTGTTGGCGTAGAGTTGCTCATAATATGTTCTTATAATTGTCTGTATTTCTATGGTGTTAGTTGTGATCTCTCCTCTTTCATTCATGATTTTATTTATTTGGGTCCTTTCTCTTTTCTTTTTGATAAGTCTGGCCAGGGGTTTATCGATCTTATTAATTCTTTCAAAGAACCAGCTCCTAGTTTCATTGATTTGTTCTATTGTTTTTTTGATTTCTATTTCATTGATTTCTGCTCTGATCTTTATGATTTCTCTTCTCCTGCTGGGTTTAGGGTTTCTTTCTTGTTCTTTCTCCAGCTCCTTTAGGTGTAGGGTTAGGTTGTGTACCTGAGACCTTTCTTGTTTCTTGAGAAAGGCTTGTACCGCTATATATTTTCCTCTCAGGACTGCCTTTGTTGTGTCCCACAGATTTTGAACCATTGTGTTTTCATTATCATTTCTTTCCATGAATTTTTTCAACTCTTCTTTAATTTCCTGGTTGACCCATTCATTCTTTAGAAGGATGCTGTTTAGTCTCCATGTATTTGGGTTCTTTCCAAATTTCCTCTTGTGATTGAGTTCTAGCTTCAGAGCATTGTGGCCTGAAAATATGCAGGGAATGATCCCAATCTTTTGATACCGGTTGAGACCTGATTTAGGACCGGAGATGTGATCTATTCTGGAGAATGTTCCATGTGCACTAGAGAAGAATGTGTATTCTGTTGCTTTGGGATGAAATGTTCTGAATATATCTGTGATGTCCATCTGGTCCAGTGTGTCATTTAAGGCCTTGATTTCCCCTTTGATCTTTTGCTTGGGGCCGGGCTGAGTAATCCGCTCGGGTTTGCTTTCAGGAGCTTTTGTTCCCTGAGCACTTTCTGTAGAGTTCCGGAGGATGGGAATGAAGATGGCGGCCTCCCAGTCTCCGGCCCGAAGGAGCCGAGAGCCCGGGGCCCCACTCCTCAGTGCGCCCTCAGAGAACAGCGCCCAATTACTCCCGTCACCCTGGCCTCTGGCCGCGCTCTGAGCTGACCGAGCCTGCGACCGGTTCAAGGTTACCCCGAGTTTAGAGCTCACTCCTTGGCTCTGTCTCTA